ATTTCATCTTTGCTGCTGTGTGTTGATATGCATTCTGTCAGAATACAGCTTTTTGGTAATGCTGCAATAAACTGTCACTCTAATGTGGTAACATGTAATAGATACAATAACTCAATCATTCCATATTACTTGACATAATAAAGAAAATGACTTGAAAAACACAGCCTAAAGAACAAGGTTGAAGCTCTAGTGAGCACAGGTTTTAGGCTTTCTACTGTTGTAGGCGATACCTTCGGAGTTGATAGCTTTGGAGGCAAGGACCGTGAAGACCTTCATGTCTTTATCACCATTGTCTAGAATGGTGGATGCCTCAGAATGTCAAAGGTATGGGAAAAGAGGATACATTCGTTTAGATTTATTATCAATATTTTAAAGCACATGGCTATTGTAAATGATTTAATCCTGTGTGTGACAATTAGTCGAACCTCCAGAAGTCCTGGAATTTCAACTACAGCCATGAAGTTTCAGCTGACTTGAGAGATTTAGTTTGATGGCCAATTACTATGGGCAACCTAGAAGGCATTGCACCCGGCAGAAGCACTGGAAACATTCTTTCCTTATGCTTCTAAAACTTGAGATGATATCATCAGCTCCAGTCCCATAGTATCCATCTTATTCTCAATATTCACTCTCTCCATTGATACAAGTGTAGTACCTTTGTTATTTTGAAAAAATGCATTGGTTTTTACTCCAAACAGGAGATGGTTTTATTTATACCAATATCTTAAATATTAACACATATTAAGGAAAAAATTAAAAGTTTACATTTGAAAATTGAGTTGACATTGGGAACTTTAGGTTAACTGTCACAGTGGGTCACAGGAAAGAACTTGGCCACATTTGTCAACCATATTTGGCCTAGTTTTCTGCATATGTTTGCCAGATGCAACAGCCAGTTTATTGCTGGAGGGCACAAAAATCTGGAGGAAAGGCTTGGCACTTGTGCTGTTTAACCCACTGGGGGGTCTTATTTTTGCTGAGATTTTGCCTACAGAGATCTGATTGTACAATAGAGAATGAATGGGAGAACGAGGCTTCTCTTTGCTTTCCATAAACTAGAGATTTATAGAATGCTCGTGTCAAGCATTTTTGGGAGCACAGTTGCAAAAAAAAAAAGGAAGATTAAAAATGTTATCTGTACTGTGAAGAATACAGTTCTAGGTGTGAATGGTGAGGCAAATGAGCCAATTAACCAACATGTACTCTTTATTAAGGGGGCTCTCAATTTCCCGGAAAGTTATCACTCAAAATGGGAAGCATGAAAATATATATATATATTTTTATAAAATTGGCCTGATACATAAAAGAATTTCAGAATTTTTGACAAATCAATCCTATAATTAGAGGTTATATATTTATAGCTGATTCAAATCCCAAAATGAATAGAGATGTCAAAGCCTTGAGCATATTGAACATTTACACATGAATAAGCAAGATGGCAGAAACTGTTTTCAGGCAGACCTATTTTTTTTTTTTTTTTTTGCCTTTGTATGTTTTTGGTGGTTCTTCAACTTGCAATTTCCATATAATATTTTTCCATGTTTACGTTAGCATGTAATTAGCATACATATGATTCCATAGTGGATATGTAAATACTCCCTACTCCCCAAATAGGTCAAATGGCTGTGGGTTTTATTTTGTTTAATACTATACTTCTAGACTATTTGTTATTTAGATAGTAATTGTATTTTTTTTCCTTTTAATTATTAATTTGAGTCGTGGCAGCTTATTAAGTCTCGTTTTTAAGTCAAAGACATTAATGTTTCAGGGCAGGTGTTTGAGTTTCAGAATTTGGAGGAATAGAGTTAAACACATTTATATTATTTTTCCCTTTCACCACACTTAGTATTTGAAGACTGTAGTCACTCTTTAACTATCAAATTTTTTTTCCATTATTTTCATAAAACCTTCATACAACCAGACACCTAAATACTATCGCAAAGTCATAACTTACTTCTGGAGGTAGTCGCTCTGTAACTCTTCTCAGATCACTGGGAGATATCTGGGAAATGTTTGAGGCAAATATTTCAATGAAGTGAATACCAAATTTATTTTAATGCTGTGTGTGTGTGTGTGTGTGTGTATATGTGTTGAGTGAAAAAGACAGAGAAGCACACTATAGAGAATGTATTTCAATGATTAAAACATGCAGAGAATAAACCAGTTAAAGTATCATTTAATTGGACATCTTATCTTTCACCTAATACAGATGTATAAGGATTATGAGTAAAGTTATACATCTTTATATATATGTGTGTATATATGTATGTGTATTTTTATATATGTATGGATACATATATATATTTATATCCAAAGGTCTCTGACACAGGCGTGTGCATGTATACACACACACACACAAACACACGCCTTTGCTTTTCTTTTTTTGTTTTTGAGACGGATTCTCACTCGGTCGCCCAGGCTGGAGTACAGTGGCGCAATCTCAGCTCACTGCAACCTCCACCTCCTGGGTTCAAGCGATTCTCCTGCCTCAGTAGACTACAGGCGCCCACCACCATGCCTGGATAATTTTTGTGTTTTTAGTAGAGACGAGGTTTCACCATGTTCGCCAGTCTGGTCTCTAACTCCTGACCTCAAGTGATCTGCCCGCTTTGGCCTCCCAAAGTGCTGAGATTACAGGCGTGAGCCACTGCGCCCAGCCTGCATTTTATTTCTGGTTAGCTCAGGTCAGTGAGTCATTACTGCTGGGTACAGATGTGAAGTGCTGATGATTCCTCTAACACTGCTATGGGAACAAATGGGGCTAACTGTGGCTGCTCCAGAGAGGTACAGTTTGTAGGGCACTGAGATTGTTGAAAAAGAAAATGACCAGTGATACATGGGTAGGGAGCTGGGGTGGGTGGCCCTCATCACTTCCATGTCACTATATACCCTATATTTCTATCTTTCCCTTGGTGATTTGCAGATTTATTGATACAAATATTTTCAGCTAAGTAATTCTTCACATCCTAACATGTGTAATGAAATTCCTACTTGTAGAGTTACTGTGTACTCTTAGTAACCATTGGAAGCATGGAAAAAATTGATTTGGAAAGCCTGAAAGCCCTATGATAATAAAAATCATACAGCACTTAACTTGCCTGGTGTATTGTAATTACATTTGTCTGTCTTCCTCCACCCCCATACTGTGATTTCATTAAAAGCAGGGACAAATTTTAAATTTCCAGATTTTAAATTTCACAGTTTCTTATAGCAGAAGTATTCAATAAAGGGTAGTTGAATGAAGAAAATGGTGAATGAAGTTTAATGAAACATCAGGATCTCTCTATTTTGTTATCTTTACCAAAATCATTATATTTTTTTGCTTAGGTAAGTGGCAGGAATTTATATTTCTTTTTTTTGTATTTACTGATACTGTCAAAGAACTATGATATTTGTAATGAAAAGAACACTGGAATGATAATATCAATAACTGAGTTTAAATGTTGGTGTCACCTCCTAGAGCCTTCCTTTCTTCATCTGTAAAATGGGCTAATAATATCTACCCCATGTAAGTGTTATTTCAGTTATATTTCTTTCTTTCTTTATTCAGGAAACTCTTGAAAATCTCTCATAATCCTAAACTGCCTAGCTAATAGTAAGGATACAATTTTGAAACATTTCCTGATGCTTTAAAAAAAAAAATCCCTGTAAATCATGCTCTGCAGGTGCCATGCTCATGGATGAGGGATTGAGAGCTTCTGTAGCTTTAGGAGTAGGGCAGGGACAGCCTACATTCCAAAACACATGTGCCCTGGCAGCTGTCAGAGAAGTTCTTATAAAAACCAAGATTTGTTGAAAATTCTAAAGCTTACATTTAAATATGAAGAAAAAACCCTGAGGATCTGAGACAGGATCTTATGTAAAGTGAGATGTAACCACATAGGAAAGGAGGACCCTTCCAGTGGGGCAAAGTGATGCTTGAGGAGAGATTGAGGATGGGGATCAAGAACAAAGGGATTAAAAACAACACAAAACACTTGGGAAGGCTGAGGAGGGAGAGGCAGAGGAGGCCGTATCTCCCTGATCCTCTGGAACCCTGGGGGAGTGCCTTTTGAGGATCTCCAAACCACTCTGCTTCAGGTAGTAGAGTTGAAAAGTGGCCTGTTGAAGAAAAGGCCATTCTACTCACGTCTTTTCCAGGTACCTCATGTCTTAAAATTGAGCCAGATGTTCTGGAGGGACAGATGTCGTGACCTTATAAGTGGGCATCAGCACACCTTGCCGGGTCCCAGTAGCTCAAAGCAAGGAAATTGGTGGCAGAGATTACAGGGTGCCCCTCTCCATGCTGGGGTCACAGCTGAGTCTGAGTGTCAGATAGAGCTGAGATGAGGAGTCTAGTCAGTTGGGGGAGATGGCCAGAAGCAGGCATTGTTTGGTGCCTATGACCAGAGGACCATCCCAGGCACATCAGAAACAGTTACAGTTAAGTTAGAAGCCAGTAACCACCAGCGACCAGGCAAGATTAGCCATGCCTGACTCAGACTTTAGCAGCCCACCCAAGAAGGGCAGTAATGACAGCAGATGTTCTGTTGCCACCACAGCGTTACTTACACTTCCTCTGAGGAGGTGCTAGCATGCCAGAAGGAGGGGGAAGAGAGAAAACAACCCGAAAGACTGAAAATCTGCCCCAAATTGACTATTTTTCAGAGAACCCGAGTGATACCAAATGAACCAGATTAAAATGTTTGTTTTGTTTTGCATTTTTATCACCAAGGGAGAATGGAGACTTGTGAGCAACGTGAAGTCAGTGATGTGATGGAAAACGCAGTTTTAAAAAAAAATTATTTTTTGCACATCTGTATTATAATGAATACATTTCCAATCAGCCACACTAGTGTGTCTTTCTCTCTTTTTAACTTGCAGATGTATAGTGTTCTCATTTGTAATGTATGTGTTTGGAGCATCTTACGGTGTACAGAATGCTTTCCCATACGCCCTCTCATCTGTTCCTTACCATAACACAATGAGGTAATGTCAGTATTATTACGCTTATGTTTCAGGAAGTTGAAGATTTGTCCAAGAGCAGATAGCTGAAGAGAGAGAGAAAGAGAGAACAGCTTACAGCTCAGGTCCTCTCTCCATGCTTAGGAACCACTACAAATGCTATGGTCTTGAGTCTCATTTTGTTTCCCTCTGGAAACCACATGTGCACTTTGTTGGCGACAGTATGGGTATGGTTATTTTGTTAGTTCTTACACATTTATTTTAAAATTTAATGAAGTAGTGCCATAAAGCTTTATCAGGATGTATTTAAAATGAAAATAGTCTCTTGTTATCCAGCATGCAACTGATTCTTTCAATTTGGTTTGGTTAGTCAGAATCTTACCAGAAGTCTGTCCAGGTGATTTAGTTGAGAGCATCAAAACCAACCAAAATAAAACAAAAACAATAGCCCATGGCAAATTCATTCCGATCAGTTCATATCCTAGAGAAAAGTGCAGAAAAACAAAGGTGAGTCAATATTTTATAAATTCAGGGTCAATACTGTATGCAATGTCAATAGTGTATGAGTTCCAAAGGATTTGTGTCACTATTACATTAGAAATGATCCACTTTTATTTGATGTATAGTAGATCTGGCCATATAATGGCCAATAAATAAATAAATAAATAAATAAAACTCCCACACCAGAATACAAAGGATAGAGAGCAAACATATTTCGTACGATAATTGCAAACCACTTATGGGCTTCAGTACAAAGTAACAGAGACCATCTCTTCTCTTTCGCTTTTCATTCATTTTTAGCATTAGCAAATTTATGGCCTGTGCTCTTGACCTTGAGCGCTAAGAGGTGTGTGTCTTTGCCATGCTCCATGGCTACATTTTAGGAGAGTGAGTGTGCATTACATATCCGTAATCCAGATCTTAGATAGTAGAGGGGTGCCATTATAATTTGTGGAGAGAGGCTATAATTTGGTGCTCAGGGATTACCTCCTTTGTATATGTTTGCCCACTGCATGCTACCATTTATTGTAAGCTTTTAATTCATGATCTTCATTCTAGTTGAATCTGTGGAGCTATTGGTCATGAGTATAGAAATAGATCTATAGGGTTTTCTTGAATGGCATTTTTCATTGCTAATGTGTTTTGTGACCAGCCAGGTTTATGGATAAATCCAGTTTTTCTGTTTCTCTGAGAGGTATGCATCAAAGCAGTTTTTTCCTCTTAGGAATTTTAATTTCCCTTCGGGGTTCAGTGGGCCATTTAGTACCTCCATTATCTCATAACTTATTCTTACTATTTAAGTGACTCGTTTTTTTAGGATGTTAAAATAGCATGTTGGTCCTTTTACATACCTTTTATTTTCAAAGTCAGACCAAACAAACCACCAGAGTGCTGTAAATTTATGCCTTACATTTGTTTGGGATTCTTTTTATATTCATATTTTTAGAGTCTTCATATGCAAGCAGAAATTTTCCATCCCCTCTCCACTGATCACCATTGAGGACAGGGCACGAGATGGGCAAACCCATGCTTTTGTGTGCCTGTAATGGCTAGCCTCTTTGTTACACACTTTATATTGGTCATTATCTGATAGAATTCCAACAAATGAAAACATGCCCAAGTTAAAGAAATTAAATCTCCTTATCCATCACCTTAGAAAAATGACAACACAGCATGTATATAATTTAAAATGACTTGTTTGAATATTTATTGCTAGATTGGGAGAACATTTCTACTGATAAGAAGCTCCTTTGATTTATCAAAGTTTTCCATATTATTTGTTAATTAACTCCATGTCCTTAATATCCACAGCTCATTTTTCCTATGATAATGACTCCATTGTGCAACATATAAATATAATGAAAAATATCCCTACCTGTATTAAAAATTGAGAAACCTCAATTTAATTCACACACATTGTATTTTGTAGTCAACTCAGGACTGTAGTTATATAACTTGAGTTATTATTGCTGGAGCAACAAGATAAGAGAGGCATTGAAACACTGCAAAAGAGACTGCAGTGGACCAGGGTGGTAATGTTGTCCTGGTAATAAGCCTACTCCTGCCATTGCTGTTAGATGAAGGTTTTCTTTTTCTTTTTTAAGTATTATATAATTATATGCAATTATTTTTGTCCTTTGGTTTTCCTATTATCTTTTTCCTCCTCTTTTTGATATCAAAATGACATTAACTGGAAAATATAAACCAATAAGATTTGAGCTATTTAATATGTTAAAAGATAATTTGCCAGGTTTCAAGTTATTTCCTCATTTGGATCTAGCATGCAGCACTTACTGATATGAATTTTCTAACTCATGTCTATTTAAAAGTATTGTGTACACATTTCAGCAAATTTTGGCAAAAGGGCGTCCTCTGATGGGGAAGTGACTGTTCCTTTCTTTTGCCATTTCCCAGTCTTAAACCCTTGTTTTTACATCAAGCTCCTTTGTTAAGGATTCAACATAAAAGTCTTTGATACTATTGAGTGTATCTCTGACTCATTATTAGCCAACACTCTGTGTCTGGCTGGCAACTTTTCCGTAAGTGGTAAGGTCAGCCTCATACAGTATTGCACAGCCTTTCCCATTCCTTTGGCGTCAGTGAGAATCAGATGATTCAACAGTGAAAAGCAAACTCTTGGACTGGAATAGCAAGATGACCCATCTCTAAACAAAGCAAACTGATATTCAGACTAGGTAGGAGTCTCTCATGCTTAACATGCATCTTACTGGTTCTTTATGAAGAGCTTTCTCTTGGTAAGAGGTACTCTTTAATATTTGTCTTTACCACAGGTAATCAGCATCTGTAATTCATGATTTCTCTCCTTAGTTAACAAGGCTATGGAATATTTGAAAGCAACTTAGGGTCAGCATGATATAGTGGAGAAGGTGTTGAGTCAATTGATATATGTACCATCTGGGTGCTCATTGAGAGGCCTGTTACCCTCTCTTAGTCTGTAACTTCATCTGTAAAATGGAAATAATCTTATCTGCTTCACAAGGTTGATGCAAAAGTGAATATGTATAAAATTACTTGGTAAAATGTAAAACCCTATTCATGTTTAAGGGACTGCTATCCTTTTAAGAAGCAGATGTGTTTGCTGTCATCATTTGAGAGAAATTGGGAATACTGGAACCTTTTTAAAATTGCAGCATAATGTCTTGGAGTGATTTGTTAAATATTGACTTAAACTAGTAGGATTTTCCTTTTTTCTTTTTCTTTTTTTAAGACAAGTTCTTGCTCTATCATGTAGGCTGGAATGCAGTGGTGTTGGTGTGATAGAGGTCAGTGCAGTCTCAACCTCCTGGGCTCAAGTGATCCTCCCGCCTCAGCCTTTTGAGTAGCTGGGACCACAGGTGTGTGCCACTGTACCTGGCTAATTTTTGTAGTTTTTGTAGAGCTGGAGTCTCACCATGTTGCTCAGGCTGGTCTCAAACTCCTGGGTTGAAGTGATCCTCCTGCCTTGGCTTCTCAAGGTGTTAGGATTACAGGCATGAGCCACCGTGCCCAGCCAACTAATGGAAGTTTCAATAGTCAAAGTGTAGCATTTTCCTTAATCTTTGGCCCTGTAAGGGTATCATGCTGTATTGGAAAATCTTCTTTCTTTAACCACAAAATTTAAAATGAAACTGGATTTGAGTTAGCTAGTACTCTTTCAGTAAATTGTGTGTATTTCCTTTTAAGTAATTTGCTTCTTCCAATTGTTTCATCTTTATCATTCATTCTCTTTCCTCAGTCCTTTATTCGCTGCTGAGGGGAAGCAATGAAGAATGTCCTTTGACTCTGCCCAGTTTTTTATGCACACACACAAACCTTTTTTTTTTTTAGAGACAGGTGTAAAGGAAATGTAATATATTTTTTAAACCTAGTGGTGGGTGTGCCAATTAAGGAACTTGCAAGTAAAAGTTGAACTTTGGAGCCAACACGATTGTTGGGGCTCATCATCTTTATAACGAAAGTCTTTGCAATTATTATTTCGTTTGGCAAAGATGAAGTTGTACCCTTGGGAGATGCCTTGCCAAATCTTTATCCGTGATTCTGAATTGATTCCAGCCAGACTTTTTTATAGGCAAACTACTTCATATCCTTTCTTTGTGGTGTGTGCCCTTAACCTCAAGAATTCAGTTTATGAACACTGAAATAGTGTTCACAGAAAGTGTTTGGAGAAGAACGCCTTTTAAAAATTACAGTCATTAAGGTATAATGCCATATGGGCTCAAGGGGTGGCAGAGAGGCTGAGCGGCTTCTTGTTCATTAAGACTGAAATATTTATATGAGCAGTAATAATAAGAGCATATTTCAGAGTCTGTGTGGTATGAAATTGAGCAGCGATGCAATTAGATAATATTGACAGCCCCTATTGTAATTATGTAAATAGTACTAAGTTCAGCTCTCCTTTTGTCTTTCATTTCCGTGTGCACATGTATGGAGAAGGCTAGAAAATATATAAATGTTGGGCAGGAGTGCTTGGCTGTTTATTTATAGGACACAGTAGCCTGATGCTTATGTTCCCTTAAGTTATTTATTTATTTATATTTTTCATCCAAATTAAGCAAGTCCAGTGGGTTCCCAGAGGGGACATGCAAATATGTGTTTATTTGGAGAAATGCTTAGTGTTAAAGCATCCACATGAGGACCCTGACAACCTCATAGGTCCATTCTGAGTACTTGTCTTTTGGAGCTGTGTGTTAGAATCCCGCTTGACTAATACTAATACTTTTTTTTTTTTTTAAAAATCTTTAGAACAGATAATTTAAAGTTGTTCTCCATAGAGATGTTTTCTATGTCTAGCTGCCTATCAATCTTTCCATCTCAATGCAGAAGTATTTGATTAGTGTATTTAAGGTAATAAAGATGCCAACAGTAGTGTCACCGTGATGGATGCTAATTATAAGTCTTTAATGGTTCCTCTGCTTTGGCCACTGTCTCTGCAGATTGTGATTTTTATGGTTAAAATAGTGCCCTGCTGTCCAAAGGCTTAATCATAAATTCTGGTCTCCCTTTCTTTAATGATTTTGCATGCAGTGGTATAATCCCAGTAACATACATTATCTTCGTTAAAAGCAAGCAGTGACTTTCATAGGGGCGATTAATGCATTTTTAAGGAGCTTGAGGAATCCTTGTTGGGATCATAGCAGAGGTGATGATGATTGTGCTTCCTGGGCATTAGAATTAGCAGCAATGTTGCACAGACTGTCTGAAAATAATTGAAGATTTTTATGCAGTCCCTATTTAGCACATTAATGTTGTAAATGAGACTATAACTGCAATGGTAGAAAGGCAGGATTTGCAACCTGAAGATGTTATCAGTATGTGGCTGTCAGACCAACGAAATGAAAAGCAAGTTAAATTATATGAGGGCTTTTCCTTCTTTAGAACAGTCTTAAACAGATTTGGGGTCAGTCAATTTGACATATCTGTTGATGAAAATATCTCTTCTCCTGACATTTTTCAGGCTGAATTTTCACAGTGCTAATATATGTTTAGTCTTTAATCTCCTTACTCAAGTCCAGAGATACAGTTTTAAATAAGAAGAAATGTGCCTAGTAATATACACATTTATGGGACTTTCAAGGTATGGATAATTTGCTTATGTAAATATATGCCCATATACACTACACATACTAATACTTCTCTGAAATGACATATCTTATTGCAGACAAGCTTAACATGAATTAAATCGATGCCCTGCTATCTTGTAAGAGCAGTTTACTTTCACATCAGTTACAATGCATAGCTTCTTGCATGTAGCGGGTATTTTAAAATAGTACTTTCATGCTCTTATTGAAAAGACCTTGATAATTAAAAAAATTGTTTTTTAAAAGCACATTAATATTGGCACACATTAACGTTATTATGTACCTGTTTTCTCCTATTTAATTTTACTATATTCTATGCTTACAAATTAAGCTAGATGGAACTACAATAAAATGTTAGGTGTTTATATCTTATTACTTTCCACTAGTTTTATTCAATTGTAATGATAATATCATACTATAATATCCTCTGTTAGTGCTAACCACTGTCTTCTAGACAAAGTTGTTGACTTCTAGTAAGGATTTAAAATTTAAACCATTTTTGAACCATTTACATTTTCAAAGAAGGGAATGCTAAATTGTTTTATAGGAAGGTAGCTATTCCCCAAGTGGTACTGGCTTATAGGAAGAAACTACAGATCTCAGAAGCCAAGCTTGGAAGAGTATTCCTCTAGAAATAACATCTATTCAACATTTCTGGGGGTAGCTATAGTTAATAGTTCTGGTTGATTAACAAAAGTCTACCTAATATTTATTTTATGGTGGAAATTTGAGGAGATATGCCCAGCTGCATAGTGATTATTAGAAAATGCCTCAATTTACAAGCATTATGTTGAAAAACTTGTGACATCTACTTTGGGTGTTTACAATAATGACTTACTTGCAAAGTCTTTTATTTTGCCATAATATACTTTAAGGCAATTGTTTGATATGTTAATGTTCAGATGTTCTGAGGTGCTCTCTTAGGTAATGGTTTTCATCGGCGAGCTATTGGACATCTTTTCACCACAGTGATAATACAGAAAACATACACACAGAGTGTAACCTCTCCCACAGGGAACCTTTATTTTTAGAGCGTCACTCCGACATTCTCAACATGGGCAGACCAGAAAGGGGTGTTAGAAAGCTTGCGATGGATGAGGAGGGCTGGAATTAAATGAACTAGGATTGACTGGGGAAGAAGACTGATATGGGAGCCTATGGGATTGTTAGTGGAGATCTGTATGGTAATTAATCCCGTGTGAAGACAAAACGTACCCTCCAATCTGTTTGTCTACTCATTCCGCCAGTGTCATGCTCTACTGATTATCGATAGTGTCATTAGAAAAACCAGAGAAAGACTCTTCTGTGGGTATCAACAATCTGCAGAGGTCTAACTAAGCATTAGAATGACATCTTGTGTGATTCTACAATGAGAGACGCAAAACTGCCTGATCAGAGGAGGTGTGGGCTGCATTGTTTAGTCTCTCTTGCTGTGTGGATAATTTTCTTTTGTAGTTTTGATAAATTAACATTGGCTCATGTATTCAGCAATATTCAACAGGAATCTTTTTTTTTTTTTTTTTAAGCCCCAGGGCTTGTGTTTAAAAATGCAGGTTAGTTCTCAGAGGCTTTCAAAAGCATTTCTGCATCATGCTACTAATTAAGATAAGGTTATCATTTTAAGTTATACCAGGAATGCAATTAGAGCTTCTACTGAGAACTGTAGCAATCAATTTTATACAAATTATTCAGACCTGGTAAGGTAGAATACAGTTTTAATAGGACAAGTGAACATACTGTGATTTATTAGATACAATGTGAATTCAAAAGACACCTGAACACAGCATCTGTAACACATCATGTAGCCCAAGTCACTGGGACTCTAGTTCAACAGCCCTTCACTGGGAGAGATTTAATAATATGCCTTCCATTCTCCATTGTTCAGTGACTGTTATTTTGGATTTTGAGAGGGATTTTTGTTTTTCGGTTTGAATGGTTTTCAACATGAGAAAGGATACAAAGCGCAGATGAGTGAGTCCCCTCTATCTAGACTGACATGTGCTGCAGAGCTGTGGGTCAGTCCTACTTGTCATTCCTTTTACTTTTGTGGGATCCACAGAGTCCAGGTGACCAGCTGACAGTGTAATTAACTATTTTTTCTACACTGTCCATCTCTGCTAAGAGTATTTGGTGTTGGATAAGAAACTTACAAGTGTTATCTGCCAGCTGTCAGTAATTACTTATTCATTGAATGGATACCTGTTTTCTAAGGATGTATGAGGACTGCAAGGTTGAATAGCTCCTGAGGAGGCTGTAGATCCTTTCTTCCTAGGATCACTGCAGGTCATCTGAAGCTCTCCATTAGGTCATAAATTACAGTACTTCTGGGCTTCCTTTTCTTAAACCTCTTAAAAATATCTGGAACACCTTTTACTACTCCCTGGTTGGCTTTTATTCTCATTTGACCTATCAGCTTGTTCTACATTTTTCCATGCACCGAAATTCCTCAAATTGCAGTTGTTCATTCAATGTATATCTAGAGATTTTCCATCGTGTGCCATGCATTGTGCTAGGTATTGAACACATGGTGGTGAAAAAGGATACTGTACTAATATCTATAACATATGACTGCCTTTCCCACCTCCACCATTAAGCACGTAACATCCCTTCCCAGCACTTGTGACCTTGCCTTGTAATTTACAGAGAAGGTAAATATCCTCTAGTACAATCTCCTCTGTCTTCTCCTTTCTTCCGTATCTGCCATTATCCACAGCTGAAAGGTATTTTCTTTCTTTTCTGTCTCATAGAAAGTGTCACCTCTCCTCCATTAAATTGCC